TCCAAGGTGAATAAGTTATACTGTCTAAACAACGGAGCCCTTCAACTTTTTTTTAAAGATAACAATTGCTATTTGAAATTCCTTGTTATTTGAGATTCCAATTGCTAATTTGGTGTTTCCCAGATAGCGAGATGGGCTGATAGAATTGTTATAGGATTTTAAAGGAGGCTTTTTTCTGTTAAATAATGTAACAAGCGGTCTCTGCTGATACATCTTTATAGGCCAAGTGGCGCAATAACCAAATTTACACAGAAGAGTTTTCACGTCTAATATTGAAATCAGTGCAATCTCTTTACTTGGCAAGGACGGGTTTACAAGTTCTTGCATTTCCCAGAATTTTGTAACAGGGAAGATAAGTAAAAGTAAACTTTAAAATGTGCAAGGAAAAAAAATAAAAATCAGGGCTAGGGAAGAAATCGCTGAATTTTTCATTGTCTTGCTTGTATTCGAAAGCTTGAAAATTTATACATTGTTTTGTTAACCTGATTAAGATGCTGTGTCAAGACCTTTGGAGAATTCTTTCAGGATTGCTTTTTTTAGTTTGCAAAAAAAAAAAAAAACAACCACCCAAAACTTTAGCAAAACGTGGATTGATTTGGAATTGCAAAATAGGATCGGAACCCATTTTATAGCCAGGGAAATGAGAAACCATTTTTGAAAATCAGGATTGCAACCAATGTAGTGGAGATGCCTTTTAAACTCCCAAAGGCCCTGACTACTAAGCCTTGCTGCCAATTCCTGAAAGGCCCTCATTGTATCAGTCAAACCTTTGTTCTCTGCCACTGTACGCTGTATTCCAAAACCTCCTTTTTCCCCCTCTCCCTCTTTTCATTTCAACCTTGTTACTCCTGGCAGGGTTTTTTTTTTTTAAAAAAAAACCTCTTTTTATTTCCAAGGCAGGCTAAATGGTAATCCAAGATGCTGAGACTGGGCTGAATCGGTGCCCTGTTTTAAGGGAGCAAACCTGAAAGGCCAATTTCTCAGCCTAAGAACATGGAGTATGTTGGACAGGAAGTTGTATGGCGCTGGCTGGCGAGGCCAACGTTTTGTGAGTTTTTCCTGTGCCACAAGATGACAGGAGGATGTCTGAGAAAGTAGGAAAAAGGAGCTATTCTCGGTGTTTGTGGGAGGCTTCGTTGAAGGTGGGCAGAGAGAGAGAGAGAGAGAGAGAGACCTGATTTGCTTTTTAAAGAAGTGGTGGAATTATATTCTTAGCTTTTTGTCAACTGGCAAATGGGAGGCTTTAATACGAGCTTGGCGCTGCGGTGAGCATGCCAATGATTTTAAATAGAGCGAGTTTTGTATGGAAGAGTTGGTCATCTGCCTTGCATTGAGGGGGAGAAGGAGAAGAGGAGGGGGGAGAAGAGGAAGGGGGAGGAAGAAGAAGGAAGGGAGGAGGAGGAGGAAGAAAAAGAGAGAGAGAGAGAAGGGAAGAAGAGATGATTTTTGAGACTGTGCAGGGAAATGTCCTTCATATGAACTTATTCCTCTTTCTACTCCTTCACCTGCCCCTTCTCTTTCTCCTTTGCTTCCTCCTCCTTCTCCTTCTTCCATCCAAGCCCCCGCCCCACCCCTGGTTACCTATGTATGGATGAACAGCCTTTACGGACTCCTCATAGTACGTTGAAACCTAAATCAAACGGACTTAAGTTCACACACAAATGCTAATAAGGCAGAATTTAAACCCAAGTTGAACTAGGGAGCTAAAGCAGTTCCGTGCTTTGTGAGTCTTAGGAACACAGCCACCGCTTACAATGTCTGCCAAGGGGTTGCGTGTCCAGTTTGGGGATTCAACTGGAAAGATCCTACCATCTGTTGGAACAAATATCCTTCTGGGTTCAGTTCCAAGTAGGGAAAAAAGACACCGGAAACAGGGAGGCTGTTAGGAAAGATGGTTTAATGGTGGACAGGACCAAATGGCCTGGAGCTCCAGAGGGAAAAGGAAGGATGATCACATAGTCCAAGGGGAAAAGAGAAGATCAAGAAGACGCTGAGAGTGCCTGGGTTTTATAATCTTCGTTGGGATTTGAATTGGAGCTTTTACTCTGATTGGTTGTCAGACTCCCATGGGGCCCTGCAGGGGCAACTCTGTAGGCTGTCCTGAGTTCCAGGCTTGGTTGAGCCTTGCTGGATGATGATGCACTGAAAGAGCTTTTGAGCAATTGTGATAGCTTTACCTGGAGATCTTCGTTATGTAAAATAGACTGGCCCAGGCCTTAATGGCCCACCCATTAACAAAGGTGGGGGTGAACTTCTGAGGTGTTTCTGCTCTTGAGTTTCTACTTCTCTTTTTAGTGGAAATATTCTGCCTTTTTTAATATTTCCTAGGATATTTCATTTTTCTCGGAGAGGGGTGGGTTTTAACTTCCAACACTTATTTCTCCCACATGGAAAGATCCTACCTTCCCAGTGATTCACAACCTTCCTTGGTGTCTAAAGGAGATTAGAAAGTCCTCTTGGGGAAAAAAAAAAACCTGTCTTGTTTCCACAAGTCTTAGCTAAAATGTGGTTCGTTTGTGGTTTAGCATGTTCGCTAAATCCAGTTGTTGAAAAGTTGGGTGGGCAGACAACAAGGAATCTTCCTTCTGACAAAAGTGACCTATTTTGGGGGGATAAAGGTTACAAGATGGGTTTGAGTCACTTAGCAAGCACCTCACTTAACAACAAAGTTTCCAGTCGCCATTGCCGAGCGTTAAGTCGAGAACCACTTGTGTTTTGAATTGTTCGTTTTTACATCCTTTCTCTTTTCCCCAGCTTGGGAAGCTTCTGCAGGGAGCATTGCAACAGATTGTACAAATCATTTTCTTGGCTGCAAGTGCACAGCCTCAAATTAACAGTGAATAGTTGCTAACGAAGTTTATCTTACTAATGTAGCGGTGATACCTGGTCTAGCAAATGATTAAATTATTTCTCTTCTGGCAGGGTGAGTTTGCTGCCAGAAGCCATGTGTGATATTCAGTGTCAGCTCTTTTCAGTGGCCTTTTAAGATTTTAAAATAGAATTAAAATAAATGCATTTCCTCCCCCGCCCCCCCCAAATCAAGCGTAAAAGAAGGGGGGGGGGAATGATCCAGGCTGCATAATGGAGAGAGAGAGGGAGGGAGGGAGGGAAGGAGAGAGAGAGATGGATATAGAGAACGTAGAACATAGAATAATAGAGTTGGAAGGGGACCTTGGAGGTCTTATAGTCCAACCCCCTGCTTGAGAGGAGACCCAATACCGTTCCAGATAAACAATTGGCCAGTCTGTTCTGAGTAACCACAACTTCTTAAGGCTAGATTCATTCTTCTCACTGTCAGAAATTTATCCTTCGTTCCAGGTTGGATTCGTTTTATTTTGTTCTGCGTTAAGCGTCCAATTGGGTTCAAGAAACCTTTGACTTGGCCTGGCAGAGGAAAATGTCCCCTTTTTCCGCAAACTGTTTTGAAACAATTATTAGCCTCTCTGAAAACTGGCAGTTTGAATGATTGCAGCCCATGTTCCATGGGTGGGGGGGGTGGCCTTTAAAAATAGCTCCCAAAGTTTCAGATACTGTAATTGAAAAGTGACCTGCTGGATGGTGAACTGGGAAGAGGAGCCGAGAAGAAGAAGTACATTTGTTTTCAGGAGCAATTTTTTTTTAAATGCTAGTTTTTAGCTATATTGCAGGAGCCGTGAGGCAGAACGGAAGAAGGGGGGAGGAAGGAAAGGGTGCTGTGGTTTTTGGAAAAACCTTTAACAGTCAAAGTGGGAACTCTGTCAAAACTCAGCCCGGGATTCAGTTGGGGCAGTGACAGTCCTGCAGAGTTTAAGATCTCCTGGTTACAATGGAAACTCTGTTCTGTATTCAAGTCTTGCTCCTCCCTGGCCCCAGTTAAATGGTTGGTTTGATTTATGGGTGCTGCACAAATTCATTTAGCATTTTATAGGACCTACCAATATTTTATTTTATTTTTTGACATCTCTGCTAAGGAGGCCAAAACACCATTCAGACTGATCTAGGAATACCCCCGAAAGCTTCACTTGAGGTCTTTCTCCTAAACCTCCTTCCAATTGACGTGCCTAACCTATGAAGCATAGAACCATCTTGGTTGGAAAATCCCAGCTGAAGATTGAATACCCAAAGAATCTTGCCTTATTCTAGTCTTCGGAATGGAATGGATCATGGAATGGAATAGATCATGGAATAGAATGGAATGGAATGGAATGGAATGGAATGGAGTAGAGTAGAGTAGAGTAGAGTAGAGTAGAGTAGAGTAGAGTAGAGTAGAGTAGAGTAGAGTAGAATAGAATAGAATAGAATAGAATAGAGTTGGAAGGGACCTTGGAGGTCTTCTAGTCCACCCCCCCCCCCAAGGCAGGAAATCCTATCCCATTCCAGACAAATGGTTGTCCAGTCTCTTCTTAAAAGCCTCCAGTGATGGAACACCCACAATTTCTGAAGGCAAGTTGTTCCACTGATTAATTGTTCTCCCTCTCAGAAAGTTTCTCCTTAGTTCTGAATTGCTTCTCTCCTTGATTCGTTTCCACCCGTTGCTTCTTGTCCTGCCCTCAGGTGCTTTGGAGAATAGCTTGACTCCCTCTTCTTCTCCCTCTTTCAAATGCAAAACTCAAGCAGAGGAGAGGAGTTTCAGTTTTAGTTTTAGTTTCACAGCGGCAACCAGCTTTAGTGTAGAATAGTTGAGCTAAGCCACACCTAGGCTCCTTGCTGTCTCCTTGCTCATACAGCAAATATGGTTTCAGTTTTCAAACAGCCCTCAGCTCTCACACACTGACAGGAAGCTAGCCAGATGAATACCGATGGATGCTAGTAGGCAGAGGCAGAATTTTGTTTTCCTTATTTTCCTTCCCAAAAACTAAACCCGACCACATAGTTTCATAGCGAAGCACGGGTATCCAGATAGTATTTATAAATAGGTTGGAGAACAGCTGATGAAACTTGGTTCATTAAACTGTAGTTAAGTTTCTGCTGACCACTCAAGTTTCTTGAAACTAATCAACTTTTGGTGTTCTTTTTTACAGGATCAACCTCTGAATCCTGATAAAGGCTTTGAAGCTCAGGTGAGTGTTGGATTTTTCATTTCATACAAAAGGGTGAAAATATAGTTCAAATGGCAGGATGTTTAGGTGAAGACTTCAGGATGTCAGAAGTCAAGATTCCCATCCCCGCCATGGATGGAAGTTAGATTTTCTGGGACTTCAACTCCCAGAATTCCCCGGCCAACTCCCAGCCAGGAGTTGAAGTCCACAAGTCTTCAAAGTGAACAAAGTTGGACACTCTTGCAATAAAGCAAGACGCCAACAATGGGATTTTATGCTTGCAGCTTGGAGGCTTAATCAAAGCCAGCTTGGCGCAGAGAGAGGATGTATGTCTGTTTTTATGGACCTCCTGACCATTTTTATGGTTGGGCTGAAGTCATTTTACAGGCAAATGCAACAGGAATAGCAAAATTCAATGGCAAATCTCTCTCTCTCTGTCTCCCTCTCTCCCCCTCCCTCCCCCCTCTCCCTCTCCCCCCTCTCTATCTCTCTTTTCCCTCCTTCCTTCCTCCCTCCCTATCTCTCCCTCCCTCGCTCTCTCTCCATCTCTTCTTCTCTCTATCTCTCTCTTTCCCCTCCTTCCTCCCTCCCTCTCTCTCTCCCTCTCTTCCCCAATCTATCTCTCTATATCCCTCTCCAGGGGTGGGATTCAAAAAATTTTAACAGCCAGTTCTGTGGGCGTGGCTTAGTTGGTGGGCATGGCTTGGTGGTTCATGTTATTGGCTGGGTGTGGCCAACTGAATATCACTCATATCGAGGCACGCATCTCCTCGCCTGGCCTTTCATGACTATGGGGATTCTGCAACAGTCGTAAGTATGAAAAATGGTCATAAGTCATTTTTTTCAGTGCCATTGTAACTCTGAATGGTCACTCCACACAAGCAAAGTACCAGCAAAGGAGGGGAAAAAACTCCAGAGAAGTTCCTGAGACAGGAAGTCTAGTCCTGCCAAGAATGTAATAAGGGTTAACGGAGGGGCAGCTTCTGTAAGCAACACCAGAACGTTTCCTTCCTGCCTTCCTTACAGGATTAGCCCAGTAATTTCTTCTAACAACCGGTTCTCCAAACTGCTTAGAATGTTAACAACCATTTCTAGCGAATAGGTGTGAACCTGTAGAATACCATCCCTGTCCCTCTCCCCCTTCTATCTCTCTCTCTCCCCGCCCCTCTCTCTCCCTCCCTCTCTCCCTCCCTCTCCTCCCCTCTCTCTTTCTCTCCCTCTCTCCCCCTCTCTATCTCTCTCTCTCTCCCTCTCTCTCTCCCTCTCTCCTGCTATAATACTCAGCTGCTACTAGCTCCATATGTAGAACAAAGCATAAAGGCATCTGTAATTAAGTAATAATCAACAACTTTCAAGAGGCTGAGTCATGAAGACCTATTAAAATGGTTCATTGAAAGGTAATTCATAACAGCAAGGTTTTAGCTTGTAATTAGTCTAAGAATGGGGGCGTTCTTTGATGCTGGAAGCCAAATTCTCCAAGGATGTTGGCTTCCGATAAACAAACCCAGCACTTTTGCTGCAAATTTCTCAGTTTTCCCCTCTCATTCCTGTGGAATTCTTTCATTTCAAATTACGGGCAGTCCTCATTTAGTGACTGCCTCCTTTGGCCACTGTTCGGAGTTACAGCGGTGACGGAAAAGCCGTTTGGCGAACAATCTTTGCGTTTACAACCTTCGCAGGTCAGGAAAAGCAAAGAGAAACTGGAGCCCTATTATCAACACAGTCGGAGTTTCACTTAGTGACTCCTTTGCTTAATGACTGAATAATGACTGTCCCAATTGTGCTTGCTCAGTGAGGATGAGCTCAGAAGAGATGTGATATTAGAAACCAAAGTGTTCCAACTTTGGCTTGCTAGAAAGAAATCATTTTGTGGCTTCCTGGTTTAAATGTCAGGATACCTCACCAAAGAAGTATCTGCAGTTTATTTTTTTTCCTATGAATTCCGCTTGTCTACGGAAAGTTGGAGATCTGGAAATGCCAACTAGGAGAATCAGAAGTCTGGAAGGATATGGGAACGAAGCACAGTGTCAAAATCTTGCTTTGCAATTTCATTGAAGTCGTCTTTCCCTGGGTTTTTTTAATCTATATATAGATTAAAATTTCTGTCGCTAAGTGAGACATTGGTTAAGAGAATTTTGCCCTGTTTTACGACCTGAATCTGGTTTCCCCATTGGCTTTGCTTGTCAGAAGGTTGCAAAAGATTTATATTCCAACCGTCATAAATATGAATCAGTTGTCAAATACCTGAATCTTGATGGTGTGACTACGGGGGTGAAGGTCATAAGTGTGAAAAATGGACACGCTTTAGTTTAGAACATTAGAAAGGAGAAGGATTAAAGGAAGCTTCTGATTCCAGTTAAAAAGAACTTAATCTGGGTATATGCAATGAATCTGACATTTTTTAAACACCAAATTAAATGCAGGGAACATAATTAAAGGCATAAATACTTGGGCTGTTCCAGTTATTCAGTATACTGCAGGTATAATTGATTTGGGCACAAGCTGAATTAGACATTCTTGATTGGAAAACAGGAAAATTAATGACTGAGAATCATATTTCCTTTCCAAGAAGCCATGGTGGCTGGCTCTACTTTGTTAGAAATAAAGGTGGGAGGGGATTACTCTTAAGTAAAGCAAGGAACAGAAGGGAAACACAATTTTGGAACCCAGCGCGGGATTGCGATTGACAGATGTTTGCGCAGAAAGAAAAAAAACAACAACTCCTGAAGACGACAAAACTCAAAAGAATAATTGCACAAGAGAAGCAGCCCGAAAGCCAAATTAACGCCTTCAAATCCAACTCGTTTCGTGGCCCATACGCTGTTAACGTCGAAGGGAAATCGGATCCAAGTCAGACCTGGCCCATGGCTGTAAATTGGAATTCTTGAAAAGGGGAGAAACAGGCATCTCAGCGCAACAACGTGACTCGGCCAACTAGCATCATCGAAGCCCAAATGGAAGGGCGTTTCCAATGGTAGCAGAATGGCAGTTCGGTAAAGTGATCAGAGGAGAAACCGGAGGCGCATCTCATTGGCGGCTGTCACTTCAACTCCCAGAATTCCCCAGTCAGCACAACCATGGGAGAGAAATGTCTGAAGTGGTGTAGGGTTTCTTGCCTAGGCAGGGGGTTGGACTAGAAGACCTCCAAGGCCCCTTCCAACTCTGTTATTCTATTCTATCCTTTCCTTTCCTTCCCTTTTTTCTTTATTCTTCCTCTCCTCTCCTTTCCCCTTTTGTTTCCTCCCTCCCTCCCTTTCCCTTCTCTTCCCTTCCCTCCTCTCTCCTTTCCTTTCTTTTCCCTTCCTTTTTTTCTTCGTTCTTCCTCTCCTTTCCCCTTCGTTTCCTTCCTCCTTCCCTTCCTCA